GCCACGGAGGTACTCGGAGAGGGATGCCTCGTCTACCGTGTTGAGAAGAGGGGAATCACCCGGAGGGGGAGGGAGCGGAGCTGTGCCGTACTACTGTTAATTCAAGAAGCACTCTGACAAGCATCGTCGTGGAAGTCTTTTATTACATTGGTGTCAGAGGTGGCCGTTCAAGACAAGACGTTACCAAGTGTGAAGTACGTCTAAAAACCTCAGGAAGAAGACCCCACCTGTTGCGTCTTCTGACGACGAGGAGGCGGAGACCCAGGACCTGCCGACCCTGGGATCCGTGGTCCCGGTCACAAGCGCCACGGAAGGGGAAATTGCTGCTCCAGAGGTGGGCGGCGCGGTCGTGGCACCTCCTTCTTCATGTGTCGACGACGGCTCGAAAAGGGTGGAGGATCAGCTTGAGATGTTGCGGGGCGTACTTCTCCAGCTGATCTCGCTCATCGCTACGTCCACGGTGGTGGGGCGTCCGCTTGAATCGTCCTCGGGAAGCGTCGATCGGGGGTCTAAGGCGGCAATTCCGACGGGTTCCCCGGCTGAGGTGAGGTCCGCCATCGCACATGCAGAGGGGGTGTCCGCTATTGCGCGCGTGGAGGAGTCGTCCGCCATTGCTCACGCAGTGGGGCAGCCCACCATTACGCGCGTGGAGTCGCCCGCGCGGCTGGACGCCGCCATCTTGGACAGTGCGGCGAAGGCGGAGCCCGCCATTTCCGAAGGGCCACGTGCTGTGGAGGGTGCAGCAGCCGCTGCTGCCATACGGGGCAGTGCCGATCGCGGCCGTCGACTTCTTCATGTTAAAGAATTCATTGCGGCCGGCGGCAACTGGAGCACCTTCACCTGGCGTTTCGAGGCGGCGTTCCGTTCGGTCCACTGGACGGAGGAGGATGCGCTAGTCGCTCTACCGACTGTGTCAGATGACGACGCTCTGGTGGTCTTCAGGTCTATTCCTCCGGAAAAGAAAGCAACGTTGCAAAGTGCGTATGCCGAGATGGAGGAAGTTTATGAGCCACCTTCAGACAAATGGAGGAAGTTTATGCAGCGTAAGCGAGGTAGTTCAGAATCTCCCCTTGCCTACCGTAGTGCTTTGATGGCGTTGGCCGTGGCCGCCTACCCCGATGTAAACAGGAGGCCCTCGACTTTCTTATAATGGACCGTATGCTAGCCCTGGCAAGGGACATGGGAGTAGTTCTACCTGCATGCGGCCACGGGATGCAATCATCCCGATGGGCTGCTAGATGCCTTCATGCACACGAGAATCTGCAGCGGTGGTCGTAGATGGCGGCGTGGACGGGTGATCCTAGTAGTGACGGGGAACCACAGAGCTGGTCACCGGCTAAAATTGTCGGCATTCCGCCTGGGGACGAGTCTCCTGACGGCGATCTAGCAGCTGCGGCTTATCAATGGGATCGGAAACTGGGCGATGCTGCTCATCGCCGGGGGTCCGAAGGACCACGTCCCTGTGATGACCGGGGGTCACAAAGGCAGGCCGTCACCTACTACCAATGCGGCCGGCTGGATCACTTCGCGAGGGAATGCCGGAGTCGTCCTCGTTCTCCATCTTCGGCTGCGGCTCCTGCTGCCCCTCCGACAGTTCATCCTCCGAACCCGCAGGCCAGTCGGTACACGTCGGATACACGGCCCATTTTGAAACCTCATGCATCTCAGGTCACGGTGCCTGTTCGCTAACAGCAAGATTCGGTTGTTAATTCCGGCCATTCGGGTTCGGTGACACGGAATTGGCCCAATTCGCTCACACAATGGAAGAATTGGCGCGTCGTGTGGTCGCGGCGGCTGCGGGATCCTCGACGGTGCCCGGTTCCATACAGGGAGTGAGCATTCGCATCTTGGTGGACACGGGGGCTTTAGCTACGATTATTTCGGATGTCATTTTTCAATTGTTGTCAATTCCCGTTACTCAAATAAGGCCGGTTGTTGATGCTTGTGTTGCAGCTAATGGGGGCAGCATAGGTATCATTGGCCAGGTGGATTCCCTCATTGTTATTGGTGATGTTGCCGTATCAGGACCGGTTTTGATCTCTAGGTCGTTAGCTGTGCCTGTTTGTTGGGTACTGATTTTCTTTGACGTATGCCCATTAAGATCCTGGTCGATCAAGGTTGCTTGGAGATGCCTTCGGGTCGCAAATTGCATTTTTTGCCCTCCCCATTGCTGCTTTCGCCACCGGGCGCTGCAGTTCAGGCCCTCGTTGATGTCAAGATTCCCAGATGCTTGTGCCATTGCGCTATCGTAAGGGGATTGGGTGTGTTGATTCGAAGGCTGGGGTCCTTTTGACCTTGTCTAATACCGCAGCTCGAGGTCTGGCACTTTCTGGCACACAGACAATCCATCGCTCCGAGCAGGCCCCATTCTTGCAGGTACTCAACGGGGGCCGGACGTTGTGATAGTTCCCGCTGGTACAGTGTTGGCTCATGCCACCACCGTGTTTTCCATGACGAGGTTGAGTCACGGCAGTTGGTGGGAGCGGTTCAGCCCTGCCATGTGCCGGATGAGCGATGGGTTGCCGCGTTGTGTAGGGAGAATGCATCCTTGTCCTCCGACCAACGGAGTAGATTGCGTGCCCTTCTATTTGAATTTTCAGACGTTTTTTGTTGGGAAAAATTCGATCTGGGGCGCACAACCCTGTTGTCCCACCATATTGATACGGGTGAGTCCAGCCCTATTCGACACTGGTTGAGCCCGGTGGAGAAGGAATGCGTGCAATGGGTGGTCAACGACATGCTGGCCGCCGATATTATCTCCCCGTCTAATAGCCCTTTGGGCGCGCCCAAAAAAAAGGACGGTAGCCTCAGATTCTGCGTCGATTTCCGCAAGCTGAATAAAGTTTCTGTGGCCGACGCATATCCACTCCCACGTATGGATGACTCTCTAGATGCCTTGTCTGGCACACAATATTTTTCCACTCTTGATCTGTCTTTGGGGTTTTGGCAGCTACCCCTGGACGACTCGTCCAAACCCAAGACTGCGTTTCACAAGCATCAAGGTCTCTTCCAGTTCAACTGCCTTCCGATGGGCTTGAATTCGGCACTGGCCACCTTTCAGTGGTTAATGGAGCTCATTTTGACCGGCTTACAGTGGGACACTTGTCTCATTTACTTGGACGATGTTATTGTGTTCAGTCGCACTTTTGATGAACATCTGCGTTGATTGCGCTCCATTTTCGATAGAATGCGCTCTGCTAACTTGAAATTTAAGCCGGCCAAATGTCACTTGCTGCAGAATTCGGTACGCTATTTGGGTCATATCGTTAGTTCTGAGGGCATCACCACGGACCCTGAAAAGACTGCCTGTGTCCGCGATTGGCCGACCCCCACGAGTTTGGGGGATGTGTGCAGCTTTATGGGATTTCCGTCATACTATCATAGATTCGTGCCGCACTTCGCTACGGTCGCTAAACCATTGCATGTGTTGACTGATAAAAATCAGAGGTTTAGATAGGGTCCGGAGGAAGAGGCTGCATTTTCTGCCCTCCATGAACAGCTGGATAACGCGCCCATGCTCAAGTATACTGATTTTTTGCTGCTATTTCTCCTTGACACCAATGCTAGCAATACGGGCACCGGCGCTATCCTGTCTCAAATTAAGAACGGTATGGAAAAGGTGGTCGCGTACGGCAGCCGTGTCCTTTCGCCTGCGGAATGTCGTTATTGTGTTACCCGGAGGGAATTTTTGGCCATCATTTATTTCGTCCGCAAATGCAGGCCTTACCTTTATGGTAGGGAGTTGTCTGCACCGATCATGCGGCTCTTCAATACTCCTTGAAAATCTAGCTGCCAGTTGGCCAACCCTCTCGTTGGCTGGAAATTTCGCAGGAATTATTTTTCAGCGTCGTTTACCGTACAGGCTCTCACCATTCCAACGCGGATGCTTTATCGCGACTGCCACAACCACCTCGTTGTCTGTGTTTGTCTGGGACAAGTCGTTGTGGACCCCTTGCCTTACAGGCGCGTACGGCAATGTCTGCTGTCGCCACTTCTGAGCCTCTAGACACGGGTGCACCGGTTGACAGCGTATTGCAGCTTCCTCGTGCCATATGGATGCGCAAGCAGCTGCTTGACGACTCCTTAGGGGATCTGCGGCGTCGGAAAGGGCATGCACAGGTGACTTCTGCTTCTGGCGAGGGTGGTTGGTTGACTCTTCATGATGGCCTTTTGATGTGGAGGGAGGAAACGTTGGATCGTTGGCGGCTTGTTGTTCCTCTTGTCCTCCGGGCCAGGTTGGTTCGTGCGCTGCATAGGGAGAAATGTTTATACCTTGAAGTTCAGAAGTCACTGTTGACATTGCAACAGGATTATTATTGGCCGGGGATGACAGCTGATGTCTCCAAATGGATCCAATCTTGTACGGCAGGTGCTCGGAGGAAACCGCCACAGCAGAAATGTCGCCCGTTGCTGCAATCAATTTCGGTCTCGCGTATCAACGAGTTGGTGGCACTCAATGTCTTAGGGCCCTTTCCAGTCACATCTAGAGGGAATACATTCCTTTTGGTGGGTGTTGAATATTTTTATCGCTGGCTGATGGCTTGGCCGCTACCGGACCAGTCGGCGGCCTCCATTGCCGACGCGTTTTTGAACTGGTATGTTATGGATAAGGATGCTCCCGAACAGCTGCTTACGGACCAGGGTCGGAACTTCTCCTCTAAATTGTTGCGCGAGGTCTGCGATGCTTTGGGCACTAAGAAAATCAGAACGTCGGCGACAGAGCTTGGCTACATTGCCCTCAAGTGCCCGTTGGCACCTCCCCTAAGCTGCAATAAGCCCTGGCATGGACCTGTGGAGGTGGTCGAAATCAAACGTCCACAGTGTGTGCGTATCCGGGCGGGCCACCGTCGTTGGTTCGTCCACCCCTCGCGGTTGAAGCCGTTTGTCCCTCCTCGACTTGCTTCTTCATCTTCCCAAATTGGACTGCCGAAGTCTGACATGTCTGACGAACCTGGGGTGACTTGATGATCGCCCGAAGGGCTCTGTTTTACCGCCCACAGTATCCGAGCCCCTGACTGCCGACGTGAACTGCGACCCCGACCGGGCTGACCCTGCTGCAAAGGAGCCCTCTGCTCTGCCATCGCTTACCCTGCCGCCCGGCATGCCGGCCACGGAAGAGCAGGAGGCAGTTTCTGTCGCCAGTCCAGCATCACGGACTCGCTCCGAGATGCTTCGATTTCGTTGAATTCCCCACGCATTGTTCTTATGCCCTTGTTTTGCTGCCTTTGTTCTGTTTTATCTCTTGTTCATGGTTATATGTTGTTATGGGCCCTCAGCCTATTGGGTGTAACCCCTCTGCACACACACCACATGCTTCCCGCGCTTGCGTTTCCTCATTACTTATATTGGGTTCATCTCTAGCTGGGACGGCTAGTCTTTTCATTAAGGGGGAATTCCTGGGTTCTGGACCGCATCGCTGCTCCTTGCCAAGGGCCACGTGACGGATCCTCCAACGGAGCTCACCCCTCCTTCCGGCACGCCGTCAGTCAGGCCGGGATAGTGGAGCGAGCCACAGAGGTACTCGGAGAGGGACGCCTCGTCTACGGTGTTGAGAAGAGGGGAATCACGCGGAGGGGGAGGGAGCTGAGCTGTGCCGTACTACCGTTAATTAAAGAAGCACTCTGACAAGCATAGTCGTGGAAGTCTTTTAATACACATCACTATGCTGGTTAGTGTGAGTTAACCGAGCACCAGTCCAAACATCACTCTCCCTGATGTTAGCTATGGCTGGAAATCAAACTGTCGCTGGCTTTGAAGGTCATCGCTACCACTCCACTATTCTGTTAATTGTGTACTTTAATCGAAACGTGAATGTCTTGCAGCTTTGAGGCATTCATACCTGCTGGGTATTTTGCAATTACAAATGCGAAACAGCCTTTAATCTACTTGGCCAATCTATTCAGCATGTGGTGGCATTTACTCTTTAACTACTGGCAGCAGCTTCATTGGCACATTTGAATGTCTCTCAGCCATCGTTTGTGCATGCTCGCAGACAACTATATGTGGTGTCTAAATGGTGTATTTATATCAATTCATTTAAATTGGATACATTTAATGACCCCATGTACGTACAATCACAATTTGGTTGTATGCGCACATAGTAATTGGATGTGATTGTGCTGGGTAAGGGCTCACAGGTCACTCATGACAACTCAGATTATTACAAATATACATATACAAGAGACAATGTGTATTACTTTAACCTTGCAGGCTGTCAGAGCAAGTACTATTTAAAATACAAAGTCATTCAATATATCAAATTATCCTAGAGCAGTGCTCATTTATATTTTCAGTCAAGGCCAGGTGGTTGAACTTCTGTGTCATTTACTCCATTGGACAAGCGCTGTTTGACTTTCCACAAAATGGTACATATTTAGATTTAAAGCAGCATTCTCAAAATACAGTGCCACACAGTAAATTAAGTGATGTAAGTGAACAACCCATTAAGGTCACCGCAGGCCATAATAAGGTGGTGCGGTAAGCCCCAATACAAACACGAATTTCTTTGTCTCCACATTATTTGCATTTACACACCGCACCGGGTACTCATTTAGTGCTGCCTCGACTTGGGGAAGTCTGAGACCAGGTTCGGATCCCAACCAAGCACTGGTAAATGCTTATCATGGTCAGGAATTGGGCCCTGACGGCCGGGATCAGAGCATAATGTTGTGAACCACTTCACCAATGCTTATTTTTTATTGTATATACTATAATTACAACAAATGCACAACGTGAAAAATGTTAATCTTTCTAAGGTTGATAGAAAGAGGCGCATGTGAAAGAAGCCGACAGTGGATATAAGCACCGTATTATTTGTTTCAACAAGAAGATGCTTTGACTTTGCGCTAAGTCTTGGGAACCTTACTAATCGCCAGTCGCTGAAACCAACATTCAAGCCTTGGGTCTCAGCAGTCTTGACGTAGTCCTGTGGCACGGCCATTATGAACCCATTGCATCACCCAGACATCTCCATATTTGAGGTCTTAAAAACCTAACTAAACTTGGAAGGAAACGTTTTGCCTTTTGGTATGTCTATGCTTTGTAATCAAATGAATATATTTCATCAGGGTACAGCTATTCACTATCCATCAGCAACAATAGCAAGCAACTTACCCTATGGACTTGCGTTAGATAGGAATGTCCTTATGTGATGCATTTACTGCATTCTCACGGCACTTTTTGAAATTCTTAGAAAATCGCCAGAATAGCAAATACATATTGAATGAATATTTAAACAAAACAATTGTATCGTGTAAATTAAATAACAAGACAGTACGTCCCTTTTCAATGATGAAATCATCTCCAACAACATCCGCGGTGCAAATTTCACATTCCCATGGTGGGGGATGGGGGGGGGACAGTCTAAAGGGGGGATCACTCTTGACTTAAAACTAAGCGGTGCTACTGATTTTATCAAACCCAAAGCAATGCTAGCCAGAGTCGACCCTGACCAGGATCGTAACTTGAATGGCAAGCTTTAGGCACAGGGTACTGTAGCTACATGAAAAAAATGAGAACATGCTGTTAAAGGTAATGAAATGCAGCCCTAATCGGTAGGAAGCTGACCATTAGGAACGTTCTGTACACACAGGAAAGCTAAGCTATGTATTCCCTACATCTGGGTTTTAGATCTGTCTGCTCGACTGGGTCACAGTGCCCATAGGTACATACCATGCATTACATGTGCCAATGCCACATCTGAAATGTGCATTTGTTTTAATGAATACCATATCATTGCCGTGTAGGTGTTTGAGTGGCACCTGGGTCTGCCCCATGACCTCCTGCCAGCGGGCGTTCGACACTTCACGTGGCCTCAAGGTGCACATGGCCTGGCACAAGCGTCGTGGTGACGTCACCGCCACTTAGTGGCGAATGGCGGTTGTTGATATATACTGGATGTCGTTAGAATTATGTTTTCAAGTTTTTGAAGAGATCTCTATAGCTTAGGCATCAACAAGCCATTGTGTTTTAGAAACAATTGTGCAAGTTTCTAAATTCCCATTGCCTCTGTCCACCCAGTAGTAAATATGAGTCGACCACAGTCGATCAGAAGGTCACGTGTGGTTGGATAAAGTGTGGATACTCTCACCTCTTCCAAGATAGCTGGCCAGTGTGGAAGAGTAGGCTAAAACATCCTTCAGTGGCGCTCTCTAGATTTGCCTCGAGTGGAGGTCCTTCCCACGAGCAATGGCATGGGCGAGCAATTTCAGGACCCGCCCCTGTACCACCTCTTACAATACTACGTATGCATACCTTTTTAAATTAGATAATCAATTTCAATGGGATTTCTACTTCATTCCATTAAAGTAATCTATACATGGACATTGTAATTACACTGTATTAGTGTATGTATGTGTATACATGGATGACAATTCTGTCACGTATATTTAATGCTGCGACTCGCGTATCTTAATGGTAGGGATGCACAGTGTCATTCATCAAATATAATTCCACTTTGCCTCTCTCGGCATTAAGGGGATAGTATTTTCTCTAATGATAATTTGTGTTTAATAACAACCAACAAAGAGATTGATTTCACAACTATTGCATTGGTTATTTTGCCATTTGGAATGTGACTGAAGAGTACTGGATCTTCTTTGAGGCAGACCAAAGGGATGATTGCATCCAGAGGATGCGACTCACCCGAGAGGATGACCATTGTGGAGATGAAGTGATGAGATCCATTAATGTTCAGGAAATGTATTAGTATAAATTACATGCAGATTTTAACGTGATACGCACCAGAACCTACATTATTGGTGTTTTAACTTCAATGAAAAATAAGAGTGTACCATAATCTTGTTGCCTTATGTAGTGGTACATATTGCATAATTACGATCGCACATTGCTTATACGACATTAACACCTCTTATTCTTGGTTATTTCGGTAAAGTCACGTAGAATGGAAATAATAAAAAAATATAACAATAAAATTATCACGACGTTTCGATTGCAACACAAGCAATCATCATCAGGTGTGAAAACCACAGCTATTTATATTTTTAAATGTTCTTGCTGTGGTTTTCACACCTGATGATGATTGCTTGTGTTGCAATCGAAACGTCGTGATAATTGTATTGTTTTATTTTTATTATTTTATTGTTTCCCTTCTATGTGACTTTACCGAAAGAACCAAGAATATGAATCCCTGCAGTCACGAAAGCTTTAAACACCTCTGTTTTCATCCCTGTGATATATACATCCATATTGCATTATATAATTGTACTGTATTGTGGCATCACAGGAATGTGACTGATGGCAAAGGCATGTCTAGGCCTTCATTCAGCAGTGGAGAGACAATGGATAAGGATGATGGTAAGCCTTCAAATAATTTCTAAGTTATGACGCAGGCATTTTGTTTAAGGCAATGTGCTATTGAGAGGCTGCCTCTTACCACTGGGATGGGAAAATTCCCCTTAGGGTCACCATCAGAGGTGAGCATTGCCTCATTGGAAACACTTTAACTCTAACCACATGTTATTTACACTCTTTTATTGAATATTATTTATTTATGGGATAAACACAGGACCTGAAGCTGCTCATAAAGGCGCTAGAAAATAAAATCAGAAGACATCTTCGCATCTCAACTGGACCAAATACCATGCTCCTCCGAGCAGCTCCAAAATGTCTCTCTTTATTTTTACTATTATCCCTAATTTCAAAGGTTCCCTGGCCTTAACAACCATTCAGGTCTCTCACAAGCATTTTGCTGAGCTGAAGGTTATACCTTGGCTTGAAGTATTTGAAGATCGTTACAATTTTAAACATCTGTAGCCGCTATTTACGACTTGCAATACGCAGCATCAAAGATATTGAAGAAGAGATGTACCTATTGATATGTAAATAGCTAAGTGGTTGTTTAAATGTGGCCAGATCACCACTCTTGTTTGAAGTGGCCAATTATACCTTCATGCCAACATTAAAATTGGTTACTTAGACTATGCATTTTGATCAAATCCATTAGAGCTAAGAATGGCAATGATCACCGTTTCCATTATTCGTAAGAAATGAAATGTTGCTTATATCATGATATAAAACATGCATTTTTAAATTAAATGTAAAGGCACAGCTCTGAAACGATTTACTCATGGTGCTATTTTGGCCTTTTCATCCACATTGGACAGACGTCTTGGAAGAGATGTAACTGGAAGTTGTGAATTTAACATGTTAAACATATTGAGGTCATGGGACAGATACAATAAAATAATATTTAGATAAAATCACAGTGTCCCAGGTTGGTGGATCAAATAATGATGGGGGTCGTAAGACACTCACCTATTGACGGCAATGAAGTGCCTATAGGAGGCAGTACAGCGAGCAAGTTGGTAACATATCTGTGGAATGTGAATTCTTACATGGTATGTTTGGGTTGTCTATAGGAACTCAGGTGACCACCAATTTCTATTCATACTAAAACAACTCGAAAAGGAGAATCTGGAAAAAGAGTGAGGCTTTTCTTTGTATTACAGCATAATTATTATGATGTGGCTGGCTGGTGTTATGATTCCTGACAGAGTCACTATATATACGAATGTTTTTCATAAATGTCACATATGCACATTTTCATGCGTACAATATTAGAAGACAAAAAGTTTTACTGCCTGGCTTTCTGCACATCACCGTGCCCCATCTGCGCGATTACGTCACCCGCAGCGCCCATACTTTACCTGCGCACTCAAGTTTCAGGGACCTTCAAAAGGTAACCTGGAAAACGACCTTTAACATAGCATTCCGTGTTTCTGGAGACGGCGCTTGCGCGTACGTCAAATGCAGTGAAACGAAACACAAAGGGTCTACCCTGCTCAAAGCAACGCGGGGCTTTACCCGTGTCCTTAAGAGAAGAAAGCGAAACGTAAACCTGAAAAAAAAGGATGGAGAGAATGTAAAACAGCAATGGTTGAGAAAGCCACAGAGATCATTCCCCCATGGGGGAAAAAAATAACACGTGGAGATATCTAAGGTGAAGGAACCCTTTCGTTTAACCGGGTGAGAGCACAGAGTAAAACCGCGTTTCTATTTGCAAATGCAGACAAGCGAAGACGGGTGAAAAGCGTCACATCAGCATGATTACGTATATTCAAAATAAAAACCTAAGGGACAGCGGTTGTTGGTCCACGCTGCTACAAAGGTTTTCGCGCTAGTTGCTGCATGTGGCGTTCTCGGATGTATTTTTGGGTTGTACCGCAGGCCGTGCGGCATGGTGTCCGACGTTGCGCTCCACGTGCTGACGAGAGATATTTGTCTCGTGGTTTTGCCACACATTTTCAGATGCCCCCACCACGCTTCACTCCCTTTGTTGCCATGATGCAGTGATTACGAATAAGACCCCGGGGGCACTACCTTGCCTCTCGTTAGCCTGCACACACATGCTGGACAGTATTTGAACGGCATGTGTGCGGACAACAGTTTACTCGTAAATGCACCCTTGGCTCCCTTCCTAAATGCCTTTAAACATTATCACCACCATTCAGCTCTGGCATATGCAAGACGCTGGGTAATTGGCCTGACGCATGATAGGTAGCCTAAAGCATACGACTCATTGATGTCTGAAGATAAGTCCTTTGGTTTTATTTAATGCCTTCTGTTGGCAGACACATGAAGGCGTTTGTCTTAAAATAACATCTTTATTACATATTAAAATGCGCATAGAGACAAAGTGACTGTTCTCCTTTGAAATGTCAATATGCTGAGCTACGTATGGTAACCAATGCATTTATGACAGAAATGTGAGATTTCAATGTTTTTCTGTTTTTGTTCCAATATTGCTCATATATGCTGTGAAACCATATAAATCCACACCCACGTGGGGTGGATGCAATTTGCAGATACTAAAATCTGTAATAGACCGTGATAACCACGGTGTTCGTCATATGTGTGTGCATGAACGCGTGCACACATAGGGTTCATGCACACACCAGCAAGGCATGGACACATGCACACATACGTACATGCCCACATCAGCTGTGCTTCAAAGGCGGTCGCCCCACTGTAATTTCACCTCTTATTAGTTTCCCACAAATATTCGACGCAAAAATTCCGCAAATCATTTACGAGAAGTCGTGAATTTTGGAATTCTCGATGGCGCTAACCACAAAGACGTGATTTCAGGATTCAGTGATTTTTCTGGTGGGGGGGGGGGGGGAGTTTCACAAGGTATTATGTACAGGACTTGTAGAGATTAACTCAGACTCCAAAGATCTACCACGGTGTTAGACACAGTTTCAAAGACAATGGAGGCTCAAAAGAAAGCTGCCTCTGGTGTGGACCAATCAGTTTCAAAGACAATGCATATATTATCAGAGTATGTTTTTTGTTTGCATTTTGAGCACAAGTATTGTGGTTAATGCAGACACGATTCCTTGTAAAAGGTTTCAGTTTGGTGTTTTAACATCTTAACACCTGTTTTGTTGCCAGATAAAAGGGGAAAACCTATTCTCATCTTACCACCTGTTTTGTTATATTTTTTTTTATTTAAAGCTTTCGTGAATGCAGGGATTCATATTCTTGGTTCTTTCGGTAAAGACACGTAGAAGGGAAACAATACAAATATAAAATATTGTTTTACATATTTATTTTATTGTTTTATATTTTTATTATTTTATATTTTTATTATTTTGTTTCCCTTCTACGTAACTTTACCGAAAGAACCTCTTTTGTTGCCAGAAAAAAGGGGAAAAACCTATTATCAATGTGATTTTGCTATCACACAGTGCAAATGAATACAAATGACAGCATGCGAATATGAATATTCACAATGTGCTAGTGTTCTGTCATTATATTCTGCCTAATCCATTCTGAAAAGCAATATTTTTTAACTGAAATAAAATGTCCAAGACTGAAATGAGGGAACTAAGATTTTTTTACGTAAAAAAATCTTCAACACACCATTAGAAAACAAAAACTGAATTTCCAATACCGCTCAATACAACACACAACTCTCATAATGTACTGCAGTCATGTTTATTAACAAAAAGCTATACATTCATCAGTCTCATAAACCAAATATACAACCTCTGAATTCAAAACATTTACAGAAGGTAACTGAAGCACAGAAAAAAGTTGCAAAGTCGATACAAAATGTACATATTTCTCCAACAATATACAGTATTTATATGCTTTAAAAAAATTACAGTACAGTACTTATAGAAACGTAAAGAGCGATGCACACATTTGTAGATTGTCTTTGGGTTTCAATTCAATGTGCGCATCACGCCTCTGGCTGGATATACGTATAAAGGACGTTTTATGCAAACAAGCACCCATTAAGATGGAATAACTATCTTAAGAACATCTGCACCGTGAACAATATAACATTGTATTCGTTGATTTCAATAACAGTTCTGGTTGAAACAATAGACTACCCGAATTTCACTCTGTAAAACAAATGAACGATGTACAAAAAAATACTGAAATCTATTTCTGAATAACTTAATTCTGCTAGTGGTTGTGGTCAATTTTTATATTAAGAAGTCTCCTTTGCTTTTTTCCTGGTAATTAAGGCTAGTCGACGTAGAAATGTATCTAGTATACAACTCCAGTAAAGTATACGGCCTTTCTTAACCGGTCTGCCACAAATGGAAAATATTTTTTGTCAGGTCTGAAAACATTTGAACAAAGTATTTTAACTTCTTTTAAACACGAGTTTAGTCACGAACAAAAGCTCAGTTTCTCGAGCAGAACAGAGGAGGAGGGAGGATGTCATCGTCACGACAAAAATAACTACATTATTTAGTAACAGTGTATGCTCTGTTGCGTGTTAAAGATGACAGATTTAACAGTGGCGATGTATGGGAACAAGGGACCAAATTGTAAAAAAAGTCTCTCGTCATGTATCTCATTTGGCTCCCCCATATATTCTTTAAGGCATAGTTTAGCTTGTAGGTTACACGAATGTACTTTGGCTTCAACGTGACAGCACAATATGAATGGACGGGGACTGTAGAGTATAACTCACATTCATCACTAACCTCGTAACACTTGACAGCTCACACGTCAAGTGAGGTAGCAGTTGGTGACCTGTGTGCTTACGCAGTGTGCGAATTAGGCTTGGAGCAAATCTAATTCTACTGTATTATGGTCAATTATGAGCAGTGATTGCAAGACAACAAAAAGCTCGGCCACCTTCATTAAACCCTGCCCAGTAATAGGGAAATATACATTAGAATAACATTTCAGACAAACAGCAGTTTTTTTTGGAGCGTAGAGAAGATTTTGACACAGTAGTTGGAGATGGATTTTTACAATGTGGTAAGCTTGAAGAAATATATTTGTAGACATCTGATATATTTAAGTCGGTCAATATCGTGGCTGCCTTTTTATTTCTCAAGACATACATTTTTTCCCCGATTCAAGGCAGTGTTCATGAAGATGGCGGAGTGGTGTATTTCATCTTGTTTGTGCACAACTGTCAATGCAGTCCCTTATTTACCTTCCATAAAAAAGCAGTAGTTGCTTTCTTTGTTCATGAGAAGTGCAATTGACATTTTCATTCCAGAAAGTGCGGCTGTAATTGTATCATGATGGTTCAGTGGTGTAACTGGGATAATGTATCACTGGTTCGCTGTATGCATTAGGGCTGCTGTTTCTACCAGGAATTTTAAAAAACGTATCACACAAATGTTAAAATCCTTTCTCTTTGGATCTCTCGGTAAAGTCACGTGGTGGGTAGAAAAAAAGATTAGATCACGACGTTTCGATCGCAACAACAAGCAAATCGTCTTGCTACAGCAAGAAAACTGCTGAATACGTTTTCTTGCTGTAGTTGTCTCACCTGATGACGATTGCTTGTGTTGCGATCGGAACGTCGTGATCTATTATTATTATTTTTTTTCTTCCCACGTGACTTTACTGAAAGAACCAAAGAGTGTGGATTCCATGCAGTCACGACAGCTTCAAATCAAGGTTAAAATCCTTTTTACTCAGTGGACTGGAAATCTAGTTATTACTATTAGCCAAACGATCTTGGGACTGTGTGAGCCATGACTACCACCACTGAATTTACACATGCCCTGGCAGTTCTGGTACAAATGAACAATGAGTAAGTGAAATGCTATGCTTGACAAATTGTAGGTTTCTTTTAAGAGTCATTTGCCAGATCACGTAGATTAAGAATTCACCAGTGATGTCCACTATGTTGGTTTGCTGTTAAAGAAATAACATAATTTAAATATTATTACAGGCTTTATATCATGATCTACATATACATGAATTGGCTGCTGTCTTAAAATTAAGTTGGATTTGTAATAATTTCCCTTTGAATTGTTTTTGAAATAACAGTACATTTGGTTTCAATGAAAGTAATGGTAACCATATGGTACATCCCAAGTAGTGATATTCTGCTAACACATTGAAGAAACAGGTTAATAATGAGACTACCAGAACCTGCCTTTTTAATCCAATTAGCAACATGTTACTCCCAAAAACTGGTAATGTCGCAGTCCGATGTCTTTGTGCAACACAATTCTCTGTCCACAGCTTAGCATGTCAGTGCATGTGCCACTTCACCGTGATCATTATACGTGCAACGCAATTACTGATAAATTAAATAGCACATGGCAAAAAAGTACCAACTGTGGCTTATTTCAGGTGTGAAATTTTGGACAGTCTTTCATAATTTTTTTTCGTGCATTGTGTGACAAGTTCTTCCCAATTTTACTTACGGGAATATTAGTAGCACACAGCAATGCGATGGTACTTAATCAATTAACGATGTGAATTTCCAATGGGAGCAATCCGACAGCATGCAACCATTGCATAGCACCAGTTACTGCCTGGAACCTGAGAGATTATAAAAGGGGTTCTCAACCAGGTCCACAGACCCCAAGGAGATGTAAGCAGTAGACCTCGATGACCACATAAGAGTCCATATTTGGGAGAAAATAAAAATAGAATTTGTGTATTTGGACATTTAATATAGAAGTGCACTATACAATATTCCCGAAACCAGCCTGGAGGTTATGTGGTTAGAGTGGTCATCATATTAAAACTATCTCCACTACAGGCTCTGGACCACCAATAGAGTTGAGTGCTACAAAATTGCTTGTTTGAAAAGAGAAACGCTGACTTTTGTCCTAATTCGAGTATTAATTTTCTGATTGTGGTTCTACGTACGTACGTGAATGGTAATTTAAACAGACATTATAAAGCACTGGCCCAAATAATACTTCCAACAGTATGTCTGTCAATAAATCTAAAACCAATGTGGAAGAAGTCAGCAGTGGTAGTGACACGAATATTAGAGTCTCAAGTATACAAATGTGTAATTTCCTCCACTGGCTCATGAGATGAACACTACTGCATGCTCAACTAAACATGTAGATTGTGAATACCATTGTTATTAAAGTGTTGGCTTACTTGTAATCAGGGAGAGAAGAAAAAGGCAGCAGAGTTTACATTGAGGGGAACTGTGCCATTGACAAGTAGACAAAACAAGGCAGTTCATGGTGCCAGTGCTCCAGCTCCCTGTAAGGGCCATAGTAACTACATGGTCGAGAACCCCTAATCTACAAATCTCGGTTCTAGATGCCACTGGCCATGTGGTGTGCGATTACAGCGCTCGACTCACAATTGTAAATTTGTGAGTTCAAATCCTGGCTGACTCAGCCTCTCATCACTCCAGAATTGATCAAATAAGTGCCACATAATGAGAGCGATCCTCTCATTAAGCCCGGCCCTGCTGTGGAAAATTAGAAATGTGGGATTTCTACAACCAGCTCTGGAATACCAGTAGATACGAGTGCTGTCCCATTGCTTCCTTCAGCATAGCAGACACTTTCACTTTCCTTTTCTGAAGCTTTATTTATTTGTCTCACTGAAATGCATTTGCCAATGCTCAGCATCACCTTTAAATTGAGTACTTTTAAATGTAACCACAATCTAATTCGCACATTTGCACCTTCTGCACCAAGCTGGGTGGGAATACCAAATGTTTCCGAGAGCTCGGCTTGTGTGGTGATGCACTGCAGGTCACGTGTTCAAGGGCGGAAACCAGTAGCCAGACATCCTGATGTGCAATAACACGTACAGAGCTGTTTCCACCCTTAAATATGACTCAGTCCATTCTTTAAAAGTAACAAGGTTACACAATAAGCCTGGTACCATTAATATTCCAAACCCAATTAAAGACGTTTGTTTGAGGATGAAAAGGGTTATGTCCAGTGAGAAAGGAGAAAGGGGATTTTTTTCTCTTCTTCTTAGATGCTATTTGTAACTGGATGTTGTAAGGCAAAAGTCAATGACAGATCAGAGCCCATTCATCCACTCATTCCAGGCAAGCAGTGACATCGCATTCTTAACGAAGGGTCACGTAGAGGTCCTCTCATTGAATCTTGCTTCATCACTCCTTGAATTGAGGCTTGGGGGGCTTGGACAAGTGGCGAGATGAGGGCAAAGAGGGCTTAAGGAGTCGTGCATACCAATCGTCGGTCCTCCAAAGAAAACAATGTTCGCTAGTTCAACGGTGAAATGTCAAAGTTCACAACTAATACTTATACATGTGGAGGTGTGTTCTACCCTTTAATGGGGTACTGGGCTGTTCCAGCCAGTATGTTCAGCTTGCTCCTTTGTCAAGCCAGAAATGCCTGGCAAATGTTTTACTTAGTTTAAGGGTTAAGTAGTATGTTGGTCTGATTATAATATACGGTGATGCCTTGCCACCCGACGACCCAATGGTATTTGTTACAGTCAAACACCGTATTTTCCTTCACGTTGTCCTGGGATGACTGCAGTTGGATGCGCAGCAACCGCATTATCTTCTTCCGCATTATCCCGCTCATAGGTGTCTCTTCATGTGCAAGGCAAGGTGGTCTGACCTGGAGAAAGACCTGCAATGATCACAGCTTGCATTAGAATCTTGGATTGTGGGGATGAGAATGCATTTTGCTGTGTGCACCACCATAACCACAACCTAAATAAAGTGTGAATAACAGATAAAAAAATTGGTGAGCAAATGTATATATGGGTTATCTCCATTGTAATGAAGGTAAGCACAATCAGTGCTGTTAAACGAAGCTGTAAATATATTTGTATAATATAATCATTATACTGCAGTCTTTTTTGGAAAGACTGATTCCCATGAAGTGAAAAATGGATCTCACCTTCTCACGCATCAAATTAGAGCATATATATAAATACACACAGAATATTAATAATACTGGTTGCCAACATTCATCATCCATATTTCATTACAATACTTACCCAGGAAAGCACCACCGAGACTGAAAATTACTTGCATGGTTCAAAATGAAAACTCTTACAGACACCACCATGCTGCCCTGCAAATAGGTCATTCAGAGTTGTACGATTTCTGCATGATCCATAAACTCAAAGTTGCTGTGTAATAGGAATGTGGCACTATACTCTTTTTCATCAGCATAGCTCTAGCCTGTGCTTTCACAGATACCATTTAAAAAGTAATTTTGATTATATAAAGTGTTTCCTAAACGCTGGACAAATTGCTTTATTTCCTGGGAAGACTGTTAAAATGTTCACAGACTTTGACCTTCAATAATGCACAACATAAATTTCATGAATGTGGCATACTTTCATTAAAAATTATATCTAAGCTTATTTACATCCCATTTGCATTACTGAATTGCATCTCGTCTGGAATAAAATTCACGTTATGCACAGTTGAAGGTCAAAAGCTGTATTCCTGCATAATCATCTATTTTCATGCAAAACGCAACCTATAAGTTGTTTTCTTTTGTTAACCTTATCCTTATCAGCAGTGAGTGTGGTGCCAACCACAGAAGCATGTCTGCAGGCCTCACTGGGCTTATCGGGCACTGCATTTATGAAATACAGGGAAAAGGTTAGCGTCGGATTCCTGGAGAGAACAATATGCATGTAGTGCATATTAAATCATAGATAGAGAATGCAGAAAGCTTTCATTCATTGATAGTACTAACAGAATGTAGTTTGGTCGAGGTGCCCTTTACATTAATATTAAAGCCTCCCTGCTCTATCGAGCGCTGGGCAGCACTCATCCACCATCAGTGGCCCTGCGCGAGCGGTGGAAAGTACCACACATTACATCTCATGAATTAAGTGTAAGCCATTTTTAGGCCGAAGTGGGGTGATGATGACATAAGTTGACCCCCAATTGTAATTTTAACTTACAACTGTCCGTGTGTGAGCCAAGCAGTCTAAACAAAGCACTTCCTGGCCAGATGCTGCTCTGAAAGTCTCTCATGTGAAAGGGGTACATTGCATTTTTATGAATTCCAGTTTCCGCGGGTGCACTGGCGATCTGGTATCCACCACGTTGAGCCTTGACCACCAAGTGAATTCAAGACCATTCACGTTCCCAATGGAACCTTCACATTCTTACACGCGTATAATGTCAAAGTTGCAGAGTTGGCGACTTGACAATGTCATTCACAAAGAATAAAGGTACATGGTTTACATGCATGTAGCGATCAATCCATGTGCACTTGCCTGTCGCAGTGTGCGCACTTGAAAGGCTTCGCTCCTGTATGCTTGCGGTAGTGTCGTGTGAGCTCGTCGCTCCGCGCAAAGCGCCACTCGCACCCTTCCCAAGAGCACTTGTACGGCTTCTCTCCTGCTGCCACAAATGCCGTCCGACGAGACGTGGAGAAGAGGAAACGGCAAAGAGTGCGGTCAGTTCAAGTGGCCATGGTGATCAACGCACAGCCCAGTCCCACACAGTGATTATTATCGAGTTGCGTGCTCATCTATTGTTGAGCAACAGCAGTTCAATGAAGGAGTACTTTTGTTTAAACCGGTTGCTGGAGATTACAATGATGTCAACTGCAGTTTGATACTTATCAGAAGGTGGTGAAGCACACATATAAACACATATAAACTGATGCTCAGAAAGTGGGGTTGATGTATCACACATGTTTCATTGCGTTTTGAGACTCCAAACTTGATAATCTGCGAGGTGGCCAACAGATGGCAGCGCAGGAAGTTCATTTCTGATTGGTCTGTGCAGTTTGTGGTCATCATCCACCTTGTAAGAGTGCTTTCACTGGTAGGAACGAAGTTGTAAACTGAGTGTACCAGCCTGCAATAGATTAATGTGTCCGTCCGTCCCCTTTCAATACTTTAACGAAGTGAAATCTCGTGCTGTTGGGTGTAAAATCAGCAATAGACAGCGCAGAGACTTGTCCTACCAGCCCACCCTGCAGGGACCTGTTTTTCTGGGTAATACAATTTCCTTTGAAATTTTATAATAATAAATACACTTTTTTTAAAGGAATGAATAGCCCACACATCAAAATGCAGGGCCATCACCTGATAGTGGGGCCATCACCTGGATATGCAAAATGTCTTATTATTACACATAAAGGCCACCACTAACGATGATCCCAACATTACAATCGGTTAAGAGTCACTGGCTCAAACGGGGTATACTTTGCATGAGATTGGCTCTGCGTGGCTCTGTTCATATTGCTACTTGTGGATCAGGTTTAACATTTAGAAACATTAAATGAAACAAATTGTACAGAGTGCTATTGTGAAGTTATTGGGGTGAGTGCTAACCGATGGAGCAATACGGAACAACCGATCCCCTTACTGCGCTGATAACTGTTAATACTGCAAGGGCGTAAATTATAACATCAATTCTGAGATCACTGTTACTCCATAGTGCGAGTTTGGCCAACTACACCCATGATAATGGCCGTGACAGCCAGCACAAAATATATTTTCACTCCTGGTCGACAAGAGGTAATTTATTCCAATGCAACTCCGTTGCATTCATCATGCAACATAGATGCAATCATACATCCCCATCATCCATCACTTATAAGTAGTGATTTTTTTTCTCCCTCCTCCTTGTACAGTCTACACGCTATTGATTCCATGAGTAAAATTTCCAACCGCGTGTATGCATTCACCGCTGTTGAGTGCACCAGCTTGCATTACAGTCTTACGATTATGCCCACTAATCCAGTGCTCAATCATTTTGTTAATAACGCTATCGATGTTTCCAATGCAGGGGACCTCAAAGGGGGGGGGGGGGGGGAGGTCTGTGGACCTTCAGGGGACCAAAATGCATCAATAGCGGGATCCAAGAATGTAAAGGCTCTCATTACATGCACACACCAACGCAATCAACACATATAGCTGCAACCTGTTGTAGCTTTTTTTTGTTACTTCTGCATCATTGGGCTGCAAAATTTACTAATATAGTATTAGTTGTAAGGGGTATTGATGCCAAAAGTATTGAGAACTGCTGTTATTTAATAAGTTTTGTTTGAGCTAGTTTTCCAATGTTTATATGTAAAGTTAAGTCATGTTTATTGACTCAAACATGCAATTGAGCAGTACTCATCTTTATTGGTGGTCTCCAGGCTAGTGGTGGAAATTCCACATTCTAATGGTGGGGGCCTGTCTATCCACGTGAATACCACTCTTGGCTTCCCACAAAGTAGTACTGATTTTCTGGGCCCCTGAAGGGATGATAGACGTATTTGTCCGGGATTTCAAATCGTGACCCTTCCAATTGAGTGCCATTTGCTGTGCCAAAAGCCGCTCTTGGTCAGAGTACACGACCAATGCTAAGAATTCTTCAAATGACTCATTTTTGCTAAAACTTAATTCACTATGTAGCAGGGAAAAACAATCAACACAACACGATTGCATTGACAGATCTAGAAGCTGTTCATAAAGTATCCATGAGTCATTTAATAAACACGCTCAAAGAGCGCTGTGCTCACAAGGATCTGTACACTGCACACCTTTCTTTTAGTGTCGTTTTAAATAACTATTTTACACGATGGCTAAAGTGCAAATACAGATGCAGGCACTAAGGAGTTCAACCCAGTTCATAATACCACCATGCCTGCAGTGGATGGAAAGCAGATTAGCTTGGACAATGCAAGAAATAATTATACTTTCTGTCATTGTGCAACTTATCCCTTTAAGAACTTATTGGCTGTAAGGCGTTAGAGCAAAACGGTTTCCCTGCCAAAATGAGCACTGGAGCAGTGCTTTTCTATATTTGTGGCACTGAGCTAGTGGTGGAAATTCCACGTTCCCAAGCCAGTCTCTAGGATGAACACTGCTGAGGTCCTACAAAGTGTAACTCATTTTTGTCAATCCCAGAATAATGTTGGGCTGAGTCGATCCATGATGAGAATTTGAACTTTCCAATTGTGAGCTGAATGCTGTAATCACAGCACACCTGCCTGGATTATCATTCCTCATGTGTAGACAAAATACCTATACCAATAACTCAGAGGTCTTAGGCACTAAAAGGTCATTATGAATCCATGCAAGGCTCCCAGATTAAATTACACCGTCACTGACTGCACTGCACAATGAGAAGAAATTGAATAGTGAATGAAATAAAATCATCCAGTGTACTTTATAAAGATTGACCTATCGTGTTAGAAAAGCATAGTATGATTAATTCCTAAAGCCAAAATGATGTGAGTGACATTTCTTTGGTCAAACAAAAACTTGCCTCTGCAAAACACAAATAGTAAATAATGAAACAAAGATGCATGTGATATAAGGTAGGTGTCAAATGTGTGTCAAGTAGCTCCACCATGACTGTAAAAAACAAAGCAGAAGGTGGTAGAGTAGAATCAAAATGATTCAAATCGCAGTGTTTCAATTCACAAATGAATTATATTTTAATTTATCACTCTGATGAGTAGTTGCGCCTCAAGTGGCTGCAGGAATAATGTGAATCTTACGTATATACAAATTGAAAACAGACTATGCGATGCAGGTATATCGAGCTTAAGAATCGATATGAATTTATAAATTAATGTATTGTTCCGCCCCTAGTGGTTGCAAAATTATAATGAGCACTGCTGAGTCTAGATTGAAATGTGGGTTTCAACCAACATTGACTAAACTAGGTTCTCAATCAAGAATAATGGCTTCAACCTGGTCACCAATGACTGCAAAAACCCAAAATATTCCACTTCTGTGAATTAGAGATTTTGGTTTTCAGGGTTACATACAGATACATACATTTTGGGGGACACAAAAGCCAAGTTAAAATTATTATACAAGTAGTTTTGCGTCGTTCCCTGACACGACGTTCAAGTAGCAGCACAATCAGAAACCGATGTTGGATAAACGAAAATATGCATTGTAGAAAAGGAAATTGCAATGCACCAGACAGATAAACTGAATGCAATTATTTGATTGCAGATGGTGTGTCAGCTGATCGTGCAGTGTGCAACATCCGCTCACTCACCTGTGTGTGTGCGCTGGTGGGCCTTCAGGTGGGAGCTTTTGGTGTAAACTTTCCGACAACCACTGAAGGGACAGTGGTGAATCCTCTTCTTTCCATCGGGCGAGCCTTCCGGGTCCACTAATTTGCCAGTCACAGTCATCGCTTTTACCTGCAACTTATCTGTGTGGCTGTCGTGCAGTGAGATGTGCAACTGAGACTGCTGCTGCTGCTGAAGGTGGAGGTGGAGCTGAAGGTGTTGCTGTTGCTGATGGTGGAGGGCGGCCGTCTCAGCCAAGTCAATCTCGGCACATGCCTCTGCCCGTTCGTCTAGTCCAAGGTTGAGTTCGGGCAGGTCCGAGTGCTCGGGCGACGATGGCGGCGTGAGGCTTCCACTCGCCTCGCTCAGCCGCTCCTCGGCACCAGGTGATGGCACCGAGTCCCAGGAGCCGCTGCTTCCCGCGGGGCTCGCACTGCCATGCGCCGTGAGGCACGGGTCTCTGCCGTCCGTGAACGATGACGCCGCGGCTGTAGCTGGAATGGTGACGGGAGAGGCAATGGTGGTAGCTGCAGCGGAAGCAATGGTGGTGGCGGCCGCACCGCCAAGGTCCTGCTGCAGCGGAGCCGTGATGGGTGTCGCTGTGACGAGAGCGGACTCGCTCTGCTCGGAGCAGGCGGCGATAAATCTCTGCCAGGGACTTTTCTCGGCATCACTGCCGCTCGCCGGGCACCGGCCTCCCATGCAGGGCTCCGTCTGCAGGTACCGCTCCATTTCCAGGCAGATCTGGGGCCATTCAAAACAAGGTAAGGGGAGTTTGATGATTAAGACGAGGGGATAAATAATGTTTGGTCAAATGAACATGCAACTTTCAATCAGATTCCCAGAGGTGTTTGTTGAAACATTACAAACCTCTGTTTTGTGGGCCACACAGTTCTGATCTGGCTGGGTGGAGCTATGGCAGATGTTTATGAAAGTAAAAGTATCTGAGGCATCAATAGGAAGAATATGACTGCATTGGTGTCGTAGCCCATATCCCAAATATGAATATAGGCTAACGCTAGTTATAACTCGACTGACATTAAAAAACAACGTCTAAATTCCACCACTGTCTTTAGGGCCACTGGTGAATATTGGGCACAGCCTATCTTTAGCATAGATACATGTGACTTTTTTTATCCCTGTTGAATTAATTGAAAATAGTCTGCTTGCGTTAAAAAATAATGTGACTGAAAGACACTTGTCAATGGAATCAATGTTATTTTATTTCAGCCGCTGTTTGTTTATTATGACCCAATATCCAGTGACAGAAAATAATTATATGATATTTAAAGCTGTTAGGGCCCAAAGGATCACAGACACGAGAGATGGTGATAATTGAAAAGGGGCTCATCTTTGTCCGAAACACTTACATTTGAAAAACACCATGATAAAATGAAAGGATACTTTTGTAAATTCATGGTCGTGCAGTACAGTAGGTTACTGGAATCAGATTATTCGAGACTCTTAAAGCGTTACTATCACCGTGTTTTTTGTGCAGTCAAATTACAGGCAGCTTGTTCTTATGACTTCAATTTACAAATTGTATGATTACTTTTTAAAAATACATTAAAATAATCATGTAAGCAGCTTGGGTTAATATAACCCAAGCAATGGGCAATGTATTCTAGAGCAAGCTATAAAGCCGACAAAGTAGAACACCGTTCCGTGTTGGTATTTCCAAGGTTAACGTGAATAATTTTATCTTAAAATTATGAACCTATTTTGCTTTGGAAACACTAAACATGTGATTACACTGTGTAACAAAAAAAATTGTCCCTGGGTAGTAAGTGTTATTTCCTAATTGTTTATTCCTCAAAAGTACAGAAAATGGCTATTATTCCCCACAAACTTGGCTTTTGTGAGGACAGTGATATTTTGAAATGCACCTATTTTGAATGAGAAAGCGTGGTGTGTATTTGTGTCTTTCCTTCACGTAAAGTCCTGGTCACAAAAGCAAGGTTTGCGGGGAATAACAGCCATTTCTATACTTTTGAGGCGTAAGTAATGAGAAAATAACACTTCGTACCCAGGAACAAGAATCGTGTTACATAGTGAGTTATCAGGCACGTGATGAGTCACCTAATCCCCCATGGTTCAATATTCACAATTGTGATAGTTCAATCTAATAATTATTTTGTTTCATTCATCTGTCTCATTGCGTATAATTTATTTCATCAACCTAAAAGCAACAATTACTTGTACGTTACATTAATTGTTTTTAATTAATTAAGTGCACAATACATCAGTTTAAGAATCTATGTGAGTCAGTGAATAATGATATTCCTTCTGTTATTTCTAAATCCTCAAATAATCAGTAAACCAAAAATGATTATATTTTAAACTTAACCCATTCAACACTGTACAATGAGCATAGCAGATTCATCTAAGATAGCTGATCAAGAAACTGATTAGTACTTGTCAAAAATCCAAAATCACTTTTGTTTTTAAGTCCATTGTGTTTTGGAAAATAAAGCCAGATGTTTTGCGTGCTCGTGTGGACTTTGATCATTAATGGCACAGCTTTCCAAATTATAATTAATTAACTACCTGGTTTAGCATTTCCACAGAGCTGTGTGTGATTGTGGCATCTTAAATTAGCTTAATTTCAACACCGGTCGTTTAAAAAGAGCTCCGAGGTTAGAGTGGAGGAAAGCGGGGTGCAGTCTGTATAAAAGACTTCAGGACAGTACAAGATTTGAAGTGATTTTCTTTGTAAAATAAGTGGCCTGAGGTCTTCCCTCATAACTTCCTCTCGGTGGGACTTCTCGGATGCTGGGTTTTAGATAAACATTCTAAAATTGCTTCGCTCTTGAAATGCCATTCCTCCTCATGGCCAAGATCCAATTATGAAGAGCCAGGGAGAATGGGAAAATAATTTAAGGAATTTTAGCTGCGTGGATAATATGCTGCATAAGCAAGTTTGATGCTGGATTTTGTTTTGTTTCATTAGATATTTTTTTGCGTTCTTTACATGCCATTTTGGCTTAAATTTTGTAGTAACGAGATATACTGTTGTTGGGTTGTTATATTGTTTAAGTCTGTGTCTCGGTGCTCAAACAAGCATTAATTAATTAAGTGCTGGTCCTGATGTAGAGATTACATTTTAAAATTCATATGGTGGGGGAAGAGTCTCTCAAAATAATAATTACTTTCATCAGGGATCTATAGAGACATTGGCCCTGGTTTTAAATCATGGGTTAACCCAGTTCATCATTCCCTCTGAGGTTAATAAATAAACCACTAATTTTACTTTGTAAGTCAGCAGCAGTTGCTCTCTCTACAGAATGGCACTTGCTACTTAGATGCAGAATTAAGCAACGGCCCAATGCGATAATTAAACCTAAGTACTGCTCCAAAGCTCGTTTGACATGACATACACCTTTAGGTTTATTTTTAATTCATAAAAGTATTGTTTAAAAAAGATACACAATTCAGTTCACGTCATGTAAACTGTTGAAAATCAATTAAAGGAGCACACGTCTTGCAATGAAAATCAGTGCAAAGACGCTGCAGGGATACACGTTGATGTAAAAAAAAATAACACGCACATAAATAAACCGCAGGACTGGAATGTATCCCAGAAGTGAATCAGTTGGGACATGTTATTCCACAACTTTGTGAAAATTCGCATTCAACTGTGATAATAATGGAAGTGGTGGGAGGCGTCAATGTTGTTAAACACACACGCGCGCGCACGAACACCGACACCCACGCATGGGTCCCCACCCCCGTGCCCTCCCCTAAACGAAACCTCATTGGCGCATACGCGCGGATTACCATATAAGGGAAAGCGCGTGAATTTGGCTTGGACCCAACCCACTTTTCAATCACGCACACCCTCGCACAGAACGGACCAATGGGGGCAAAGGAACGATGCCCACCCCCCCTCCCTTACCCACAAACCATCATCCAATCAGGTGGTGACAAAGCACACATTCAAGCAAGACGGCAAAGCACACGCATTGATCAGGGAGAAATAACAAGGGGTGGTGGTCCCACTCGTATGACCGTTGTGCAACACCTCACACTCACACCTCCCCTCCCAGGTCTCCCTTGCAAAATAGACCATACACCCTAATAGGCTCCCACCTGGTTAAGTCAATCACAAATTATGTGTTCTATTTACACTATATAACAATGTAGATGTTTATATTCTTAGTTTTTTCGGTAAAGTCACGTTGAAGAGAAACAACAAAATAACAACGTGACTTTACCGAAAAAACTAAGAATATGAATTACTGCAGTCACGAAAGCTTTAAATCAAAATTTAATGTAGATGTTTGTTAATGTTGCTGTTGATGGATTTGTATTTGGAGATATATCCACTGCTGGATTAATAGCACCTCCGATTAGCACGTTTGGCTACGCACAGTGAAAAAATAAGTTCAACATTCATATATAGGCTATTTGACGATACTTCGCTATATTTAGATTAACCTATTTATGGAGCAATTTTCGTACATGTTTCCATTTCTTGATTTGCACATTGGTATCCCACATGGCTTGCATTTGGTATCCCTTGCAAGTGACAGTCTCAACAGGCTCTCTCACCTGTTTTAAATAAAGGAACCAAACTGAACACTCATATGTGGTGTCGATCCACTATTATGGATGTTATATGTATATCATAAGTTATATCAGTATGTATTCATGTGTGAACCAAAAAATATAGCAGACCATTTTCTCCGAGCGCAATGAACGGATACATTATAACAATGTATCCGTTTTTATTAGACCAGGGCAAGGCTGCAGGAAACAACTTATAAGAACATTCCCTTAAGTTTCTTATCTAAATTAATTAAAATTAAGGGCATTTTTAGGTTGCTTAAGTTGTTTTATGCAACCCAGCACAGAGTGGTACTCATAACTACGTGATATAAATCAGAGAAAACTGAACCCGTGTGTGGGTCACGATTAAGTGCAAGTACGTAAGCCACTGCACCACCAAACGCGCACGTAAGTGCCCCCCTACATGATGGTAAAGCAATGTATTATACTGTGCAACCATTACAAAAGTTGATAAAGCTTGTATGGGACATATGGGGGAGGGGTGGTCAGTGAGCAATCCTGCCCTTCACTCATATTTGTATCTTCCCATGGCCTGAGCGGGAAGCCTCGGGACATCCCGGCGCAGATGCATAGTTGGCATTCCTGAGTGAGCAAGAGGGTCACTGGGATGCGTGCTGTGGGCTCTTCTGTCTGCACCGCTCGCTGGGAGCAGCACGAGTGCAGGGACCGCTGGGGCAACGCCAGCTGAGCTGACCCCACCAGCTGACGAGTCTTTATTTTAAATCTCAGCTGTGTAAGATCATTTAGCAACTTGAAATCGTGGAAGAGCGCTTGCCAATACAGGGACATGTGTTGTATTCGTTATTAGTAGAGAATTTAAACAATATCAATTATGTGTCTCCCTACTCAAATGGCAATGGGGTGGCGGCTCAACTCTGAGCTAGAAGTGGAAATTCCACATTCCAATGACGGGGCTCAGCATGTCACAATTGGTCTCATTTGACTAACTTTGGAGTAATGGTGGCTTGTGTTGAATAAAAACAGGAATGTAAACATATGTATTGCGCATTTCCATATAGAGATACTGCAGAACAATTCAGTATCTGTGTTGTGCTCTTTGTGACAAGAAGTTATGCATTGAGCAATGTGCAAATATGTTTTAAAGGAGCCTTGCACATATACCCAGATCTCCAGGAAGCACACCTCATCCGAGAAGGAACTAAAAACGTAATATTATGCAGCAATCAGTTTGACATGCAGCAAACCAAGAGAATAAGGAAGAGCTCGGATAACCAGACTAACGCGCAGGCATGCTGGTCCTAACACAAGTCGTATAATTGATGGTAACTTGCACGAGGATGAAATGTTGAACCATCATGGGATTTTAACTCCAACTGTAAAAGGACCTATGATGTTACTCGGACAAGTGCAACAGCCAGTCTCAGAACATGGGCTGCTAAGTTTAAACTTGGAATAATATAGTAATATATATCCAAAAAATAGGCCAGTACAGAATTTTCACTTGAAATAGCAAGCGATTGGAAGTGAACAGCAGTATGGGATTTTAAGTCAAGCCATTTCTGAGATTCGGATTTAAGAGTATTTTTATGTCAAACCTATATTTTGAGTCCAACTTAAAAATGATGAGCATATAAAAGTCTAACCAAGTCTATTGTTTACTTTCTTGGTTTGTGAGGTTTTTGTTTTTTACATTGCTATGGGATCCAATTTAATTCACTGTGTCTCTATCCCTCCGAGTGGTAATGTGGCAACAGCACTCAATTCACAATCGTAGGTTTGCAAGTTAAAATCCTAGTCATTGATTGGCCAAGCGTGTCGTTCCTCTGAAATAATTGCCCTATGGAAAGACTGGCTGCTGCCATGGGAATGTACAATTTGCACAACTAGCTACGGAGGACCAACAGACATGAGCACCACCCGACACTTATTTGAGGAAAAAAGATCCTTTCACTCTTGCAGCACATCAGCCGCCTCATCGCAAGCTTCGGTCTTAAGCACCACTCATATGCGGACGACACTGTTCTGTTCACCGCCATCAATTCTACCAATGCGTCTGGGTTTGAGAGGCTCTCGGAATGCACCACTGCCTTACAACAGTGGTTCTCTGCACACAACCTTGCACTTAATACGTCAAAGTCAGTGGTCATCATGTTAGGTACCAGGCAACGTCTCAACTCATCAGTGCTCCCAACACACATACACATCTTTGGTCCCAGCATCAGGTTCACCGATCACTGCAGCTATCTCGGTGTCGTCCTAGATTCAACTTTATCCTTCGACCGTCAAACCAATCATATCATCAGTTCATGTAACTTTCACCTGAAGGCTCTCAGACACCTACGTCCACTCATCTCCACTGAAACTGCCAACACATTGGCACGTTGCATAGTTTGGTCTCGCCTCGACTATTGCAACTACATCCTAGTCCGGTCCTCCTCTGGCAACCTAAAAAAACTTCAAAGACTACAAAACAACCTGGCACGTGTCGTCATTGGCCACACTCATCCCCATCTCGCCTCACTCGCCTCCTTCTCCGTGCCCTCCACTGGCTACCCATTATCAGCAGGGTCACATACAAGATCGCCTGCCTCTGCCACCATGCCTTCACATCTGCCTGCCCCCCATACCTCTCTTCATTATTGACGACTTGCAGCGCAGCACCCGGCAGATGCCTTCACAGTACGACTCACGACCTCCTCTTGATACCAAGATCCAGGATGGTCACGTCTTATGCGGTGGCTGCCCCTACAGTCTTGAACGCAATCCCTCTGCACATTCGCAGCATCACCTCAAATCGTCTCCTTCAAGAGACACTTTAAAAACTCACCTCTAACGACCACGCTTTCGCGTGACTCTGAGCTTGGCTCCGCGCCTCTGAGTTGCGGCCATTACGTCCGCAAATTTGCGCGCGTTATAAATTGCATTATTATTACAGCGCTTCATCATGCCTGTGCACTATTGAATACGTTAATGTTTGTATAAACGGTAAATGAATGAAGTGGCCTTTTTCCAAGAGCATAACGAAGCCAAGAGGCTGTTGTTTCTTGCAAAAAGCGGAAGGTGTGCACAAGCCACTGTTTCTGTGCCCCACATTATTGAGACCGCACACAAATACGCACGAACTTCCCTTTCCTGTCTTTCTTATATTATTAGGTTGTCCAAACTATAGTTCCACAGTAATAACAGCAGGACTGCTTGCAACGTGACGTGACGTGTGTGTGCCTACTGAAATCCCAGGTCGCAGTCTTTTTGTGAGATTAACTTCTTAAAAAAAACACTATTTGCCAATGTCCACTGCTGCTGTTGCTGCACACAATACTGTACATAGTCTCCTTCTTCAAAGAGTCATGTGGAGCAGTGCTCACCCTAATTGGTAGCTCAGAGCCACATATTGGGATGAGAAACCAGTCACATTTACATGTTGTAGATGAGACAACTGAGATACAGATGAGCATATACATTGTATGGGGACATACATTATCTTCAAATTTCATGATATATCTAGTAAAACACATGCTATTGTTTTTACTTATATAAGCAGGTGCCCACTGATTGTCCTATCTCTCTTCCAAGTCTTGTCGTGATTGTAAAATACACTATGAACCATCGATATTCTTTATTTCGCCAGATGAAAGCCGAGTGTGATGTTCACTATCCATTTAGACTTATGTCGTTTGTAAAATAATATCTGATCCAAGGCCGTAGCCATGGAGTCAACATTGGGGGGGACCAAATCTTCCAGGGGTCTGGGGGTCCCCCCCCCAGAAAAAAATCTAAATTTGAAAATAATTTCCTGCCATTTCCTGCCTAAAATATTTTAAATTTCACAAACACATAGGATGGACTTTTTATTTATTTTTTACAATAATGTCTAATAGTGTTATTGTATTACATTGCTCTGTTTTTTCTTTTTTACCTTTTCTTGTTTCATTGTATGTAATGGCAGAGATTAGGGATTAATAAAGTACAACCATAATCACAATCATATAAACAGAAATCTATTTTATAACAATATATTGGGGGGGACATTTTGAGCATATTTGAATATTGGTGGGGGGGGGGGATGTGTCCCCCCAATATATATTATAAATACGGCATTGATCTGATCAACCTATTTTTAATCAGGGGAGAGCCCACTAGTGTTCACCGTATCTTTTGTAAGTGATGACTACCATTGACTAAAATCCTTTTTTTGATACTGGTATTTAAAATAACAAAACCTGAATGTAATAAATAAACAGGACATATTTTTGGCATTTGACAGCACCATACCATTTATTAAACCAAACGTGTTGCTAATTGATATAACGTTTTCAAAGGGATATCTATCTACCTGTTGCATTTGCAATATTATGAGGTGTGCATTTTTTGCATCTTTTTTTACGGATTGCCATATTATACCATACTATATTTCACCAAGTGAAAACCCAATGATACAGTGGAGCTAAAGCATCTGGAATATTGTACTGGTGATTGCAACCGCTTTTAAACATTTGTGCAAAACAAGACTTCTGTACAATAGGCGTCAAAATAAACAGTGGCTGTTGACAAAACATGTTATTCCACACACAGACACCCTTTGATGTTTACATGAGCTAAAGTCAGCGAACGTATACACATAAATAATTTTAAACCAAACCCCAAGTGATGTCTGGATATTAATAGGTCAAACTGGAAATGTAGTTCTCATTGAGATACATATATTATATTTCTACGTGAACATTAGCCACAATAGTTGTGGAAAACGGCTGGAATTACTAGTGTCCGTACTGTCGTGTAGACTGTATACAATAAGACAATACAATAAATAGTATAACCACCTGTTGTATTTGCATACACCAACCCATACTGTAATGCTGTATTGTATAAAAAAAAATTGCAATGTCCCTGTACAGCACACAGCACAACATTCTAGATATTGAGGACCCTTTACATACCTCTTCAATTAGTTCATTTAAATCCCAATACCGGTTGCACAATAAAGAATTCAGTCTGTATGGGATATAGTATTGCCCCCTCGCACGCATTGATTTTCCCAGGGTCCTCCGGCTTCCTCCCACATGTATAACCACTCATTAATTGGCTGCGGCGCGTTGCAAGTAAAACATATTATTGTTAGAAGTACAATCATTATTATTGTTGTAAGTAGTTACGGATCACTTTCGCTTAATTTCCAAAGCAACCATTATTATTTCGTATTGGGTGTATTGCAGCAATGCAAGTGGTGTCCACATTCCATATTGTATAACAATGTGAAGCGTCCAAATTAATTGCAATGACATTACAATTGTGTGCATATAAAATGCAGCATTTTATATTCACAGACATAACACGACCTTGCAGACGCAGAAATACGGCCAAATAATAAATTGCATTAACACGTTAATTGACAATTCTTAAAATGTATATTCAGCACAACACATAAGAACATTGAAATTAACAGTCTAGATACGTGACATTGTAAATGGTATACATAACTATCGAGTGTATAGTATGTTTGCAATGAAAATCGTATTAAGACTACGCAGTATAAATGAAATGTAAACGGAAAATTGGACATCCACGGTACCCTGCTGATTGAATAGATGGTGCAATGTCACGTGGAATACAGCAATTTAAAATATTAAAAAAACGTGAAGAAATTTAATATTGCTCATGGTGTGGTGCTAGTAATAATTGTATCAACTTTAGTTTGCACTTCTCATTTTATCCCATGGAGAAAAAAAACACGCATGAACACATCGTACATACAACAAATAGTAACATATATGTAGTCTACACACAGCCATATAGATTGTACAGTTACTACTTACACGTGAAAAAAAATTCAGATCCCCAATTCAGTCTGATGTTAGCACCCACTTAATGCACACGCCCATTCTTCAATGCACCTTTTAATAAACGCATGCACGAATGGGACACACGTGTATACCACACACACACAGGTGAGCTCTCCTCACCTGTTGCCAGGTCTCCTCCAGGGATGGCATTGCTGAGAAGTAGCCCGTGTCGTGCACTATCTGCAGCTCCTGGAAGATGCTGTAGCTGGGCAACACGTCCATGGCTCTCTCTCTCTTTCCTTCTTCTCTCGCTCTACAGGTACACACGTATATCCAGCTCCTCGCAGGTGTGGCGGTGTCACTTCTCAGTAGGAATGCTCCTACGTCCCACACCTGTCTACTGCAGCAGTAACAAGCCCAGGAAGGATTGGGGTGGTGGGTGGGCTAAGACTAAAGCGCCTGCTCGCGCGTCAAACTAAAACCTATTCGTACCTATTTCGCTCCTGCTAATAATTGCAAATGCATTGAAGCAACCACTGCAATTGAAAAAAAGACACGTTGCTCCCGCAAGGCCAACCTCGCGCATGTAACAACGGTTTACACGTATGCTGTGTATTATTATTGTATGTTTACGTTGCGCTTGCTTACTTGCTGCACGAACACCGCTGCAATGAGCGCACGTTCCATCCCAAACACGCGCTCGCCCCTTTATATATAGGCGTGCACGCACGAGCGTCGTGACGTCATGCCGTGCGTGCTACGGGGGGAGGGGGTCTAATGAGGCGGGGTGGGGTTAAGTGCGATCGAACCTCGCCTCGATTAGCCAATAGGGCGACGTCGCCGATACGAATTAGACCAATCGGCGCGAGGGGCATTCGGTTGAGGTGCGCGCTACGATTGGGTCGGCGTAGTGGTTGGGGGCGTTGCTCGTCGCGCCTTGTTTGGAAGAAACGAAGCGGGCGGGGCGGGGGGTTGGCAGTGGGGCGGGGCGAGGGGCGGGGCGAGAGGCGGGGCGAGGGGCGGGGGAGAGAGAGGGGGGGGAGGTCGCGGCTCGCGCTATTTCGGGCGCGCTATAAAAGGCGGAGCGCGCGGCGGGGCTCGCGGGCAGAGCGCTGAGTGCAAGCGAGAAGATATTCGCCGTATCGCATGTGTTGTTATTATTAGTGTGACGGTTTTGCAAAAAAAAGCCGTATGAGCACCGCAAGCTGTTAGTGTTCCACGTTAAAGATCATACCGGTATTGGTCATTTTTTAAAAGTTGGGCAAATGTTTAAAAGTAACCGCTTTACGTCGGCGTTAGTTATCCCCCCTCCTCTCTCTCTCTCCACAAGTACCTGCGTCATCTCGGGTGGTCATTGCACGTGTGCTTGAGTGCACCTCAAAATACCCCATGCAGGATTGATTTATATCATTATTGAAGCCGTATGGAAGTAACCAATCGTCACATTTACTATTGTCCTTCCCCTGCACCTCCGATTATAGCACGGTTGGCTGCGTACGGTGCGAAAGAAGTTGTGACATTTTGATTTAAAGCTTTCGTGACTGCAGGGATTCATATTCTTGGTTCTTTCGGTAAAGTCACCACGTAGAAGGGAAACAAAATAATAAAAATATAAAACAAAATTCTCACGACGTTTCGACTGCAACACAAGCAATCATCAAGAAATGTATTGCTGTGGTTTCACACCTGATGATGATGATTGCTTGTGTTGCAGTCGAAACGTCGTGAGAATTTTATTGTTTTATATTTTTATTATTTTATTGTTTCCCACCTGATGATGTTTGCTTGTGTTGCAGTCGAAATGTCGTGAGAATTGTATTGTTTTATATTTTTATTATTTTATTGTTTCCCTTCTACGTGGTGACTTTACCGAAAGAACCAAGAATATAAGTTGTAACATTGTTTTTACAGTAAATGTGACGATTTGCAATTACCAGATAACGATTTTTCAATTTGCAGCGGCTATTTTTCATTCAGAGAAACTGGCATTGAAGACTACAAATTTGGTCAACCAAAATATTTCCAGTGTTTTCCTATTCAAAATGCAGAGGTTTTGTCCACTATTCTAGAGAATTCTCCAGACATGCTTGCTGAGCGAGCGTGGTTTGGCTGAGAAATACGCCGAAGCAGTCACCTTACACATAAAGGGAGATGTGACATTTTCAATGGCATGTGTCAAATTAAATGGCCTAAGTGAACTGGGGTAAACGTGAGCAAGCATTGCGTTTTTAAATCAACAAGTGCGCCTTTTATAATTGCTTGCATGAGGCAAGAGTGCACAAACGGCTGCGCAATGCTGTGTGGCTGCTGCTGCTGCTCTATCCCAGATAGCAACAGCCTTATCTGTGAGAAGCACGTGTGTTGAGGGACAGCTACAGCCCCTACCGACCCATTGCTTATATACATACACACGTGCATACATAAGCAATATATGCATGCATATACACATTACTTGAATGCCATCACCACTCTCTCTCTCTCTCACCCATACACACGTGTATATAATATATGCGTTCATATGAAAATGTAATTCTCGGAAAAATATGAACGCTAACCCATTTTTCTCAAGTCTCAGGGATTACCGGTGAGACTGTCTTTCACAATGTTCAGTGTCTCACGGCCATGCAATGGATGCCCACGTATTTTTGGGTTGTTTACCTAAAAATAATTAACTCGGCCCTATTTACAGCAGTGCACCGGCAGCTGCTCCTGACGGTTCAGGTCTTGTGCAAGGGTCAGATCCCAAAGTTTTGCTTGCAGCCGTTCTATAAAAAAAAATAATACTCAAGAACCTACGCAAACTCATTTAATAACCACCCAACAGTATACAGTACTGTAAATGGGTTCATCACAGTTGATCTGCATGCAGATTACACGTGGTGGGGCAAAAGGTTCGGTACGCCCAGCAATTCCGAAAGACGCCTGGTCAGCATGGAAGAGTAGGCCTAAAGACCGTCTAGAGCTTCCACAAGTGGAGACCCTTCCAGCAGCAACGAGGGCAAATGTACCACGCGGTGCCATCTGTACGTTCGCATGTGCCAATCGATTAATTCCTTATCAAAAAATCATTGGAAACGGTTACCAGTTCATACCTTTTGGAATCAGTAATTAATTCTAAGAACGGTTACCGGTTTGCCGATTGTTGTGTAACAACCCTAATACAAACGAACAAACAGAATATATCCTGTACATTTATTACCATGCCCACCATTCATACACAGTGCACCTGCATTATGAACCGAGTGATATCTGAACCAGTCCTGGACCCCTCCAACAACCTGCGAGGCGAATATAATACAATTTGGGCTTATGGAGCGTCCAAATACAATGGGTCGAAAGGGAAGCGTGTTTTTTTATTTATATATAAATGCAATTGAAATCACTGTCTAGATTGTGGACAGTCTAAGGAGATTAAAAATGATACCACTGAGCCTGGACTTTAACAGCGGGAGGGAAGCACGGGTGACGAGAGGGAGGGAGATTCCAGGCCTACGAGTGACCTCCCATTGAGAGAGCGTCTGAAAAATACTAATCTTAACCATAGACCCATATGGCAAATGTGCTGCATTCAGGTTTCAGAATATAATGGCAACGCTGCTATATTCCGCAGTATGTACTGGAGCAGCTTGGCTAAAAACTGAAATTCGTAATTTGTTGACTCACTTTTTTGGAGTGACTTTGCGGTGTGCCACGGATTACTTCACTCTTTCGCTCCCATCACCGTGGATGTTTTGGAGTTTTACCGAACACTTTGTGGCTCTATACAAATTGATATGTAGAATATGCACGTGCTACGTAAATGCATAGAACGAATTTAAACGCAGATACAAATAAATTAATTCACTGTTTGCTGCAGAGACTGTATACATTCATACACATCTAAATACAGCACGTGCAATTACAGTAAAGTGGATGTCCACACATCTAAATCCCATCCAGCCCCACCACTTTACACCCACACACGTATCCGCTCTTTTTCTCCCCAATGTACGCATCTGGCTGAGAGCCCAAGACATTTCCTTTTGCGTTGCACTCTTGCACTAATGTTAAATTAATCATTTTAAATTACTAATTTGTGGACTGTACATTTTGCTTTGTTTTTAATTGCGCTTGCTGTGTGCGTTTGTGAAGCTCTGCATGTTTTTACACAAATCTCTCTTGAAATTAACTTTTGGTCTCAACGAGCTGTCACCTAGTTATAATCTATGTACAGCGGGCTGGCTCCCATTATGAGTCATCAGGAGAGATGATCATTGCCCCTCTGCTTGTTTAGTTCATAGTTCATTTATTTGATATAGCCCTGTGAGCCATTCGGCTCTTGAATCGGGTGCAACCGCAACAAACAAAAAACATGAACAGGAAAACATCTTAAAGTGATTTTGTGACTGTGCAAACAGAAAATACAGGAAAAAAATATCAAAATATTCCTGAAATAGCACCGTACACCAACGCTGTGTGCAAAAATCCTAGTGGGATGCAAGTCAAACAACAACAACCACACGACAACTAAGATTAAGGCCATCAGTCTAACTCCGTACTACAATAAACAAAAACATGGCCAAAACAAAAAAAAACTTTTCGACAAAAAAAACTTTTGCATGACCCTACACTGCTTTTAATCGGATAACACCGGTAAAATGCTGACAAATTGCTACACATACTGTGCAGGCAGAATTCGCTCATCCTTTACCAAAACGAATAAGTAAACTGCAGGCTTTGTCTAGCTGCAGGTTTCTGCCTGAAATTCTCATCCGTGAGCAGTAGTGACGTATTGTTTCCGGCTGTTGGTCTTTATTTGCATACTTGAAACCAACCTGCTGTTTGTTTTCGATTGTCTAAACTGACTCATATAGGGGGCATTGTGGGTGTGCATGGGGTGTGAAAATGTGAGCGTGATAACGTCTGCCTGCATGTCTGGGTGACTTACAAATGTAAAAATTGTGTTCGAATGTGTACTGCACCTAAACAATATTAAGTCACAGCGTTCCTTCTGCGTTTGGTGTTTTGTGAGCTTTTGGCAGGATGTGATGTTAAAAATAAATAAATAAACATTCCGCTACGTAGCTTGCAGAGGTCGTGTAAACCAGACCAGTTTAATTGCTTGTTTAAAACAAACGAGTTTCCCACTCTAGGACAGACAGAAGAGAGCGGAGTGTGGTGGAAGCGGAGAGCATTTGTCAATGAAACCACCGAACGGAGGAAATGTGACGATACCAGCTTTCATTGACTTCTTCAGGAACGTCAGAGTTTTACATCTTTCCTCCGAAACATCAATTAATCTCCCCCTCCTACTCATATCTATTGCACTCCTCGACTGAATGCAACGAATTCCTAAATTATGTAAAACACTAATACGTATGATTTTGAAATATAGGTGAGGATTTTTGGGGTATCGTTTGTTTTAATGCATTACGGTTCTGTATTAATAAAATAAACTTCTGAAGTTGTAAATTGCATTCATGCTGACACAACTTGCTATGACTTTATCTATTATGAAGCACAATAATTAATCAATTAAAAAACAATATGAAGCACAATAATTAATAAAAAAACAATATGTTTTTTTATTATTTTATTGTTTTCCTTCTACGTGACTTTACCGAAAGAAACAAGAATATGAATCCCTGCAGTCACGAAAGCTTTAAATCACAACAATTATGATGAATTGTGTATTTTTCAATATACATAAATATCACGCTGCA